GGGGGTATAAAATTGTCAGGTCAGGGGATTTATACCGGGGGGGGGGTATAAATTAGTCAGTGGTTTTATACCCCCCTATACCAGGAGGGGGTATAAATCCGTCAGGTGTATTTGTTAAATTTCCATTGACCTAAGGAATTCGCCGTTAATGCAAACTTCTATTTGGGCCAGAGAAGACTTCGGCTTTGAAGGAGAAGGACGCTTAACAATTCTCAGCAATATTCAAATGGAATAATAATTGGACAAAAATATTTGACTGGGGCGAGATGGCACAAGTCTGCGACTCGCCCCAGCCCCAAAATCGGGGCGAGTTAGCCTTGGGGCGACTTGTACCATGGGGCGACTTGGATGGGGCGAGTTGTCCGTCTCCCCTGATATCAAACCGCCGATGTATGACATACCCTACCCGATCCACTCGCATCCCAACGACCCTCCCCCCCCTTCTCCGATTTTTGATTGCGGCTGGCCCTGGCCGGGCCGGCCTTACTTTCTTGACGCCCACCTCTCCCCCACAGTGGCGGATCCAGGCGAACGAGTCAGACCCGTCGCAGGGGCGGGTCCACGTTGACGTGTTCATGCCTGGTCCAGGGGCGGATCCAGATTGACGAGTTGAGACCCGTTCAGGGGTGGATCCACACGGTAAAAAAATCCAGCGTGCAGGTTGACGTGTTCACACCCGTCACAGGGGCGGGTCCAGGCTGACGTGTCGAGATCCATCGCACCCATAACTTGTACGAACGTGTACCCGAGGGGTCCTTCACTCCAAAAAATCAGTGTACACCATTAAAAAAAAATCACTAAAAAATCGTAAAAAATCATGAAAAAATCACTAAAAAATCATAAAAAATTAACGAAGAGTCAGAAAAATTCACAAAAAATCACAAAAATCAAGAGAAAATCACAAAAATTCAAGAAAACAGAAAAATCGGTGTACGCCACAATTTATAGTGAAGGACCCCTCGCGTGTACCCCCATCCTCGATAGATTAAGTTAGCCACCGACACTTACGCCCCTCGGTGCAATCCTTGATAGGTTAACTTAGCCCCTCATCACTTATCCCCTCCACCAATCCTCGATAGGTTATGTAAGGGGTTGATAAGACCACCCCTCGGGCAATCCTCGATAGGCCCCGTCACTTACGCCCCTCCACCAATCCTCGATAGGTTGTGTTAGGGGTTGATAAGATCTAGGTTAGGTTGAGTTAAGAGATGATAAGATAGGGGTTAGGTTGTGTTAGGGGCTCAAAAGACCCACTCCTTCGTTAGGTTAGGTTATGTTAGGGCTTGATAAGATCGGGGTTTGGTCACAGGCAGAATGGGATCCAAAATGGCCGACCGGCAGAATGGGCCCCTCTTACTAAAGGGGGGGGGGGGTGTAACGCACCTGACGGATTTATACCCCTTCCTGGTTTAAGGGGTATAAAACCACTGACTGATTTATACCCCTCGGTATAAATCGCCTGGCCTGACAATTTTATACCCCCCATCACCGGGATAGGGGGGGTATAAAACACCTGACGGATTTACACCCCCCCTCCTGGTATAGGGGGGTATAAAACCACTGACTGATTTATACCCCCCGGTATAAATCCCCTGACCTGACAATTTTATACCCCCCATCACCGGCATAGGGGGGTATAAAACACCTGACGGATTTATACCCCCCTCCTGGTGTAGGGGGGTATAAAACCACTGACTGATTTATACCCCCCGGTATAAATCCCCTAGGTGAACTGTACCCCCGTCAGCCCAGGGGGGGTACAAATGTTTTCGGTGATTTATACCCCCCGGTATAAATCCCCTGGGGCATTTGTACCCTTGGGGGTGGAGGGGGGGGTATAAATGTCCCAGGTGATTTATACCGGGGGGTACTAATGCCCCCGGGGTTTTACACCGGGGGGTATAGGGGTATAAATCCCCTCCTACACCGGTCGGGTTGCGAACCACTCCGCTTGGGTTCCGAACGCTCCTGGTCGCTCCGGCCGGGCTCGGTTTGCTTCCGCTCGGCTCGCCCCCCTCCCATGCTAATCTTATGGAGAGAGGCGAGCACAAGACAAAGGGCAGGGCGCGCCTGGAATACGGAGCCCCCTGGGAGTCTGATCAGCAGTAGAAGGAAGTTATCCGCGGAATGAAACAGCAGGAGGAGAGGGGACGGAGCTCAGCTCCGTCGCTACACCAGAGCCCCTCCCCTGCCCCCGTCCCGTGTGCGGACCTGTTCTACAGAAACGGGGGGGGGACTTTTTCCCTTCTGGTAGAGACAGTCTAAGGGACTGTCTAAAAAGCTTTCCATAATTAAAAAGTGTAGCTCTCAAGGGAAGCGGGGGCAAGAGGGTTTCCCGTTTCGGGAGCTAGCAGAATGCCATCCACATCCACAGGACCTCGTCCTGCACACCGATAGACTGTAGTCTAACTACCATACTTATAAATATGAAAGGACAATTTTATACCTAGCTTACGTGTGTTTTTTGCTCATCTCATTAAGATAAAAATTTGTATCTACGTTACGGACAAAATAAAGTATTTGTACCTAGTCTAAGTATAACTATAGTACCTCCTACAAGAAAAATTTGCATATCATGAAGATGCCACAACTTACACAGCTACAAAAATTTGCCCTCCCGATCTAGAGTGTCCCAGGAGGCTGATTCACGCCACGTAATTTCGTAGTTATACTGTACCGCATGCACGCGTGCGGGAGCGCGTGCGGGAGGGTTGCCACGGGGCCATAAGGAGCCATGGGCAGCGAGCATAGGCAAACCCGCCCGCACCCGTGCATACGGTACAGTATAACTACGAAAGTGCGCGGCGTGAATCCAGCCACCTGATACAAGGGTGGGCGGGGCAAACCAGCCAGTAACTGTTGCTAATTGAAAGCACAGTTAATTGTACAAGTGGGCTGCCTTTACAAGTGGCCTGAATGGGAAACGAGTGAGATCTTTACTTTCTTTCAAAGATGAGGAAATTATAAAACCTTTAGATAAATATAAAAATATATTTTTTAATGGAAAATAATAAGTTTAACAAGTTGAGCGTAAAGTTTGACAGCCATAAACATTTGATAAAAAAACATAAATAAAAATGAGGACAAAAATGACTAAAAGATTGACTGTTGACAAAAGCATTGCGCTAAAAATGGTGGAGTATCACAGATACACTTACTAGTCTTCAGAATATCTGACACAGGCACAGGCGAGGGTGGCGCGACGGGTGCAAGCCTTTGCCGTGCGTGCCGCGTGCAGGTCTCCCCGCCCCTAGAAGTCCGCCAACCCCACACGCACCCGGTCACACAGGCTGCACAGCACCGCGGCCTGGGGGGGCAGCACCCAGCGCACCGCGCGGAGCTGCTGCAGGCAGTCGGCCGGCTCGTGGCTCCACCACGCGTCCCTGCCCAGCACGAGGCGCCGCAGCGCGCGCAGGCCGCACCGCCCCAGCAGGGCGTGCAGGTCGCCGCAGCTCGCCGGCCACTCCATCCGCCCTGCCATCCCCACAAACAGCTCCAGCTCCACCAGCGTGCGCCCGTGCGCGAGCAGCACACACTCCAGCGTGGCGCGGGGGAGGCGGTCCGCGCCGAGCCACTGGAGGCCTCCTCCGCGGCCCGCTGGCAGCGCGGGCAGCTCGAGGCACCTGCCCAGGCCGGCGTCGGTGCAGGACACGTACAGGCTCTTTAGCCGCGGCATGGCGTGGTGAGCCGCGCGCAGGTGCGCCTCGCGGGGGTTGATGAGGCTCAGCTGCTCCACCGTCGGCGCGGCGGACATGAGCAGGTCCAGCGTCCAGGGACCTGCCCGTACGAAAAAGTTTAGTCCGACATCAGTCCGTTTTCGGTCCGGAAAGAGTCCGCACCCCTGTGGACCAGTCGACGCGTCCGGCGAACAAAGGCGAATCTGCAGAGCGCCCGGTAACAAAGGCGAATCTGCGGAGCGCCCGGTAACAAAGGCGAATCTGCAGAGCGCCCGGTAACAAAGGCGAATCTGCGGAGCGCCCGGTAACAAAGGCGAACCTGCGGAGCGCCCGGTAACAAAGGCGAATCCCCATAAGAAATCCTACACAGATTCGCCTTTGTTACC